ATTTTTCATGTTTAATATTCTTTCCTCTGGAAATGGACTTTTAGTTTGTATTGTAGGATTGATACATTACAAAATAACATTTAAAGAAAAAAAAAAGGAAAACCAGAATGAAATGCTTGAGGCCAGAGATTGGTGTTGGGATTGGTGTGAAATGCAGCGTTTTTCAAACCTTTTGTTTCTTAGGAAATTCCACAGATTTCTGTTTTCAGTCCAGTCTGGAATGGAAACAAATTTCACAATGTCAGCAAGCCCCGCGGAGCAGAAATTAGTTTCCAGTCAGCTCTAATTGTCGTGATTAAAAACCACAGCATGTGTACAGCCTCTGGTTTTCCTTCCCTCGTACCCAGGCCAAATCAACATGGATGTTACCCAGACATTCGGAGGCACCTCTTCTCCCCAAGGGCTGTCCTTGCCCCGCTTTGGCTCCCTGCCCCAAATGGTGTTGAGGCTAGACCTGTTTAAAGTGTGGCAAAACTTTGCTTCTCATGAAAAAGGCAGAGTTCTCCCTAGTCAGAAAACACAGAACTGCTTTTGCTCAAAGTTTCTGAACAAATTCACCCCTGGTAATAACCAGATCTGGATAATTTCAACCCCAAAGGTGATGTCTGAGAAAGTTGTGGTCAACTGAAAGTATGGGCTCCCATTGCAAAGCCTTGGGGAACCTTAATTTTATTAAAAGGCTCCTCTCCCCAGTGGAGTTAACAAAGGCAGAGAGCACAAAGATGCTTCCCTCTACATGCAGGCGCCCTGAAACAGCTCCGCATGACTGCCCTGCTCTCGGGGACGTATCTGAGCAATGGCACAGGTCCTAGACACAGGAATAGTTGCCACGAGGCAGTTTTCTGGCACTGTACAACTCATCTCCAGCAGCGGTGGATCCTGTGCTGGGCATGCAGGTGGAGGAGAGCGGGAGAGGATACCCGGCTGTCTGAATTAAAGCCCATGGCTCCTTGGGGACTGAGTTCCCAAGTCTGCGTTGTCAGAGCGTGGCCCTGCCAGGGAGCGACGTAGCCGGCCCCGTTTGGGGACACGCATCATGCCTGGTTGGGAACATCTCTCTTACTTTTCACCTGGGGACCAGGGTGGATATGGATCGCTCCTTTCCAGTAAGCAAACGTATTGTGTACCTGGGATGTTGGATATGGACCCTCAGAAGGACCTTGCCGGTAATCCCATCCACCATGCCGCCTTCCCGTGTTCAAGGAGCTCTTTCAGAGCCCTGGACCACGGCAGTAAGACATTTAAAATAGGATCAGCAGGACATGTGAGCTGCAAGGACTAGTGCTTCCTTTCTCTGCAAACAAGGTGTCTGCTTGGCTTCACTCCGTTATTCAGATTTATTGCTTGAGGTGCTGAGAGTACCTGATCAAATAGCATTGTAAAGCAGCACATAATCATGACTTCTTTTCAAACTCAAGCATATCTGAAAATGAAAATGTGCTATTGCGATTCAGCTTTGAAATACACAGAATAATTGGCGCACCATCTTGCTGACAGGCAGCCGCATCAAAAGCAAACCAAGCCCAAACCCAGGAGCAAAAAGAAATCAGCAGTGAGAGGTCCGCGTGAACACGGGCTGACTCAGAAAAGAATCCAAGTGTTATTGCAGTGCTCGTGGGGTTTGAACCGTGGGTGCAACACTAAGTGTGCCAGGGATGGGGTGCAAAAATATGCTTTAAGGGGCAGGACTGAGCGGTGGTTAAAGTGAAGGGGGAATCGTTGGATGCAGCGTGTCAGAAGCCCCAGGGTAAGAGACTGGACCCCATGCAAAGGGAAAGGGATGAATCTGATGGTGGCATTTATAAATCCCAATGAGCGCGTGGTCCAGGCGTGTGCCCCTGCACGGAGCTTTCCCGCTGCCGGTTAGCTGGCCTCAGTGGTGGTCCCAGCACCTGTAATGTGCCATAAACTCAGCTGCCGGTGCTTAACAGCCTGAAAAATAAAAAGGAAGAAGAAGGAAAAAGGGAGAACTCTAGGACAGACAGGCATAAAACACTTGAGCTACATATACATTTATTTCAGAGCTAAAACCCTCTCATAAGCATGCCCACGGCATTCATGTTGCAGTCCTTGAGGAACGGAGGTGAGATTCCCTGGGGCCCATGATTTTAAAACGGTTGTATTATTAATGTAACCAGGCCCGGGAGGTTTGTCTGCATGAACCCCTTGAACACCGGGAACATAAGTACCGGCTGACCTATTTCCCTCCTAACCTTCATGGAGAGGATCACAGGAAGACGTTGTGCTTCCCTGATAGCGCTGCTTTATCCTGATCTTGGAGAGCTTTCATTGTGGCCAGATCCCCGCCGGTTGCCTGCTTCTGAAAAGCGCCAGGTTGAAGAGCTTCTTTCAAGCCTCTCCAGAAAGGGGCCTATTTCATCCCTCCGTGATGCATGTTGCTGTTCACGGTGTGAGCTCTTTGTTCCCTATTTGTACAGCACCTAACGCAGCAGGGTTGTCGCCCGTGACTGGGGTGCCCAGCTGCTGCGGTGACACAAATAGCACGTAGCAGTAGCTGATGCACCGTTATTTATTCCAGGGGGTCACACGCTTGCTTCCCTTTGCACGCGGCAGCACCACTGCAGTAATGCACATGGCAGGCTGCAGGACAGGATAAACATTTCAACAGTCTTCGTGCTGAAGTCAGTTTGAGAAATGATGCTCAGGCCCCTGCGTGTTTTGGCGAGGGTGCCCAGGGTCAGTATTAGAAAGCCCAGCTGGCACCTCCCTTGCAGGCCACACGCAGCAGCTGCCTATGCCGCGTGTGGCCACCTCCTACCCAGAGCCTGATTTGACCTCAGGAAGGAATTTTTCCCTTTCGGTCCAATTTGGCGAAGGCTGTGACGATTTCAGCCTCTCTCTGTAGCAGGAGGCATTGCCCTCTTCACAGGATCTTCTGCCAAAGATGGTGGCAGGGCCCTGGTGGTGCCTTCATCTCCCGTCATCGTGGGGGATATTCTTGATTTGTGCTTTGTAGTTTGCAAGGGTTTGAAGTGGCACTTGTAGCAGAAAAGGTTTCCCGTGCGAGCAGGGGACTGGAGACCACGGCTCAGGGCACCCTTTCCAGGCCCACGGTCCTGCGGAGAAGAAAGCACACTGTATTTTCTGGCACTTCCTTCCCATCTCACTCTTTTAAAAGGTTTGCCCAGTTGAACCAGTTTAATCCCATATGAATCAAAGTGCCACAGAAGCGTTCGTCGATTCAGGGACTTCAAAGGCAGGAGCTGCACCGCTGCACCTTGCATCGACTAGTCATTGCCTAAAAAGCACTGGGAAAGTAAATGCCCTATTGAGAGCAAAGGCCTAGGCTGTCTGTCTTGTCTTCCACCTCCTTGTCCCACATACCTCCTCTACAGCCTGCCCCGTGGGCCAGCTTCAAGTGGAGGGCTGAAAAACGTTCTCACGTGTGACCCACGGCTGGAGAGTCAGAGCACTCGGCTGCGTGGCAGAAAGCAGCAGGTTGAAACGCCCGCTGCGGGAGGGGGCTAGCACCTGGGTCTCCTGCTCCCGGGCGAGTGCCCTAATCCCTGGGCTGTTGGGTAGGAGGGGGAAGAGCCCCCCCACCTCCATTTTGCATCTGTCACCTCCATGTGCAGGGCGCTCCTAATTCCCCACAGGGTAACACCGGATCCCAGACCGTGTGCAAGTGTCAAAAGCTGGTGTCACCAGGTAGACCCTGTCCCTTAGACACATCGAGTGGAACAGGAGTTAGCCAAGGCACTTTGCAACGCGCTGCCGGCTTTCCCTCAGCAGTGAGGCAGAAGGCAGGCTGCCTCAGCTGCCCATCACGTGGCTGGCATGCGCGTGGTCCTTTCTATCAGCCCTGCTCCAGGGAAGCCATCGTGCATTTGCAGGCTGCTTTGCAATGCCGCGGTATGGAGCAGAGCGACCTGGTCAGTCATTGTGCTGCCTTCGGGTTCAGATCGGAGGGGTGCTATGCTCGGGGAGGTCCCAGCCCACCGGACCGTTGCCTCCCAGACTGCCCCCGTGCCACCCGGCCTGCTGCAGCCTCTCCTTTCCCCCTGGAGCACAGGAGGGGGGTCCAGGCAATGCAAGACACCTGTTGCCTGCAGAGGGGCGGGGGTGAGGGCAAGAGCGAGGTGCCCCAGCTCTGATCTCTGATGGTCGGTGCCTGTTTCCTTGGCAGGACCTGAGTGAATTAAACGCGACGGCAGTGAAGAGCCTCACCAACACGGTGACCGTGCAGAGCCTCAAAGCTGGCACCATCTACGTTTTCCAGGTGCGGGCACGTACCGTGGCAGGGTACGGTCGCTATAGCGGGAAGATGTACTTCCAAACCATGACTGAAGGTGAGACTCGGGCAGGCAGCTCCCTCTGCCTTCAGGGGGGACAGCGGGATCCAGGAGGCCACAGTGACCCTTCTCTCCCCTGAGCAGGCGCAGGGCTGAGAGACGGGCTACCGTCCTGAAAGGGCTCAGCAGCACAAGCAGGGGAGCTTTGATGCCCAAGGGGTGCTGCCTCCCCTGCTCTGATTGCCCATAGCCTGGGGTGAGGAATAAGCCTCCCTTTTTGTCCCAGCAGTATCCCTGGGTGCAAGTGGAGGGTGTAGGTTGCCCGCACTCTTGTAACGAGCTCCCTCCCTCTCGTGTGTCAGCTGAGTATCAGACCAGCATCCAGGAGAAGCTTCCGCTCATCATCGGCTCCTCCGCGGCTGGGCTGGTGTTCCTCATTGCAGTGGTGGTCATCATTATAGTGTGCAACAGGTAGGTCCCCCGGGAGTGTGATACGCTGCCACCAGCGGGGTGGCTCGTAGCACGCTCATCCTGGTAGCGAGGGGAGCGTGGGATGCGGCGGGGTATGGAGGACTGAGGAGTCTGCAGGACAGTGGGGTGGGGATGGAGGCACTGATGGAAGGAGGAGCGTGCACAGGGGTAGGGGGAGTAGGGGAGGCCATGGGGTAGAAAGTGACCCCGTGTGGGGCTGCCCCGGACCAGCTCGTCCCTTCCCCACCCGCTCAGGGCTCCCTCTCATTCCAGAAGACGGGGTTTCGAGCGGGCTGACTCCGAGTACACCGACAAGCTGCAGCACTATACCAGTGGCCACAGTACGTACCGCGCACCCGCGCCTGGCCCGGGGGTCCGCTCGCTCTTCGGTGTGTGCTCTTGTTCGCTCGTTCCTTGTGCGGTGTGGGAGGTGACAGGGGCCTGCCAGGCTGCAAGCATCTGCATCTAGGCCGGGGGGCTTCTTCTGTTGGCTGCGGCTGGCAGAAACCTCCGCTCTTCTCCCGTCTGCGCCCTTGGAGAGCAAAGAGACTCCAGTCTCTGTCCAGCCGCCACGGGGGAGGGCTGGGGAGTATTCAGCTCAGTGGCATTTTTGGCTCTTGCACAGGTAGCCATTCAGTCCCGGGATGTGTGACCTGCATGCATACATGGTGATGTCTTTGCATATCTGGCTACAAGTCCGAGCCATCAAATGGAAGAGGAGGATCCTCGCCTGTTGTAGCTGTAGTAGCGGAGCGGCTCGAGCGCTCGCCCTGGGAGCCAGAGGCCCACCGCACCTGGGACTTCCCTGCGCAGTCTCTAAGCCCAGCTGAGGCCCTGTCCTGGCCCTTCTCTTGGCTGCCCAGGGGAGCGGTTTCCAAAGGAGCATGCAGAAAGGCTTGGGGTAGTGCCTGACCTGTGTGGTGCTTAGAGAGACACCAGTTTAAACGCCTTCTGGGAAAGGAGAGCTTGAGTCTGTGCTGTAGGAGACTGCTCTACCCATGCAGCCATCACAGCTAGAACAGGGGAGGTCCCTCCTCCTCCATCACCTACTAGCTTCAGGCTGCCTAGTTTTTCACACCTTAGAGGCTGCTGTGAGACCACGAGGGTGCACCCATGTAGCCAGGCACATATGTGGCTGGTGAGCAGCCTACCACGCGTGCTCAGTCTATGCATGCAAAGTGGACACTTACATGTGTGTCCCTCTCCTCCGTAAACCCAGTCTTCTAGCCAAGGTGCAACCCTAACCCAGAATCACCTCCACAGCCACGAGGCTCATTGGTTGAAATTAGACTGTGTTTTAGAGCTCCACTCCCACTGCACTGTGGTATCCTCCAGAAACCCTCCCAAATGCAGTGCACCCCCGCTCCCCACATCACCCTGCACCATCTAGAGCCCCCTCCTCACCTTGCTGTGTCCTGTAGCATCCCTGAAATACCCACAGCTTTAACCTCCAGGCCTTGCACCGTGAAGAGGAAGGGGACTAGGCTGCATGCCAGCCATAGGTACGTGGACTTGGACTGGTGCTCCTTCCCTAAGCAGACATACTGCCCATTTTGCTGTGTGCTTTGCTCCAGGGCTGGGCTCTCGTGAGCAGCAAATTGCAGCACAGCAAAACAGAGGGCTGTCTTAGGCAGAGCCAAGGAAATGCTGGGAAGAGCTGACCCATGCAGCGCTAAGACCTGTCCCAGGCAGGAGCCCCCTGCTCAGTTGGACAGACTGTGTTTCCTGTTCTGTCTCAACGGGGCAGTTCAGCTCGTGCGGCTGCTCTGGAGCCCTCGATGCCCCATCCTGGTTGTGGCTCACTCCCTTGGGGCTCCGGTGAAACCTATATAGGGGTGAATAAGGACAGATATTGGAGTCTCTCTCATGCCAGTCCTGCCATTAACTCACCCTGTTGCTTCCAACAAGTCACTCAGCATTTTTGTACCAGGGATTCATTGCCTAGAAACTGCATTTCTGGGACCTCCCTCTGAGCGACTGTAACCGGCATGGGGAAACTAGGAGAAGAACCGGGATCAGTTCCTTCTGTGCTCGGTCTTCAGGGCATGGCGCTGAGCCTGGGGCATCGTTAGGTTTGCTGCCAGGGCCCCCATGTCATGGGTGGTTGTGGCCTCACAGCTTGGCACAGAAGGAGGAGACAGACGGGGCAGGACAGCTTGCTATTCAGTGCTAAACCTCTGTCGAATGTGCTGTGAGCACATTCATCGCATCTTATTAGAGAGCCAGCCCCTCAGGCCATATAATGATGACAGGTCCATCTGAGCTAGCGCCATGGGGGCTATGTGTGGTCACTCCAGCTGTTCCCAGTACATCCAAAAGCAAATTTTTGGACAGCGTTTTGGGTAGCTGACATCTGAAATTACCCTGAAATAATTCAGGCAGCCATGCCTCAGTTATTTTGAAGCCCAGGCGCAGACTCCGTGGGCTTGATTGCTGTGATGACTGCTCTCACCCCCGCATAGCTGTGCTTGAGCTCTGAGGCCCATAGCCAGGGGATGTGGCAGGCAGGCTTTGATGCCAGTGTGTCACCGTACGGCACGCGGTAGATGTCTGCTTCCCTGCCCAATGCCAGGAGGAGGCTCAGGCTGGGCCTGCTTCCTTTGGAGCAGGAGCCACGTCCCTCCTGCGTCATCACTGTCTCTGTGTGCAGGGGTCCGCGTTATCCCGGCCTCTGATCCCCTTCATGCTTGATGCGTGCTGTACTCCGGGGAAGGTTTCTGGGCAGGGCGTGTGCATATGGGCTCTGTGCACAGCTAGCAGAGGCTCTGCCTGGGATGTGCTCCAAGAATGCTGTTGCTTTTCCGTGTTTCCCTAACTCCTGCACGTGCTTACGCCATCTCTAAGCATAGAGCCATCAGCAGTATTTCCTTCTCTTACACAACCATGCACACATGCACAGACACGCACTTTCCTCCTGTCCTGGGAAGCTGCCTGCCTGTCATTCAGATTGCACCTGTCTTTCTGACTCTATGCAGTGACTCCCGGGATGAAGATTTATATTGACCCCTTCACCTACGAGGATCCCAATGAGGCCGTCAGGGAATTTGCAAAGGAGATTGACATCTCTTGTGTCAAAATTGAGCAAGTGATCGGAGCAGGTAGGCTGGGCAGTGATGGGCAAAGCAGCCAGACCCAGCGGCTGGGAGAGAGCTTACTGGGGATCCAGCCTCACTTGTCCCAGTGGAACTGGGAATGTGCTGTTCCCAATAAAAGAGGGTTGGGGCAGTCCAGGTGTGTCCCACTGTGCAAAAGCCTCGAGCTCAGAAGCAAGCCATGCATATCTGCAGAGACTGGACCCTTTGTGAGCAGCACTGTCCTGGAGTATAGGGTCACCTTGCAGCCAACCACCCCGAGTCACGCAGGAGGGACTAATTCAGAGGGACAACGTTTAGTGCCCTTCGGCTGAAAGAATGAGGCTTGTGGCACAAAACAGAGGTGCTCCTTTGTTTTAGCCCCCCGTCTAAAAATATCTGGCAGGCAGGACATTGCGGAGGCATGCGTAGGACCACAGCACATGGGTGGGCAGGGGCTGGTGGGGCATGGGTGCGGTGTGCTGTGCATGGGGTCATACTGTGCCTAACCGCAGGGTGTCTGGGTGGTGGGGCTTGCATGGTGTTACAAGTGGTCGTAGCTCGATGTCTGGGTGGGAGAGCTGAGAACGCGGGAGCCCTGTCGTCCATGCCCTGCTCTCTCTCCTGTGCCCAGGGGAGTTCGGGGAGGTGTGCAGTGGACACCTCAAGCTGCCTGGCAAGAGAGAGATCTTCGTGGCCATCAAGACGCTGAAATCAGGGTACACAGAGAAGCAGAGACGGGACTTCCTGAGCGAGGCCAGCATCATGGGGCAGTTCGACCACCCCAACGTCATCCACCTGGAAGGGGTGGTCACCAAGAGCACCCCTGTCATGATCATCACTGAGTTCATGGAGAATGGCTCGCTGGACTCCTTCCTGCGGGTACGAGGTGCAAGGAGAGTACAGCAGTGGATGGGGTGCTGGCACTGGGGGGAAATGGAGCAGGGCCCAGCCCTTAGTGCCCCCCTCTCCTTGTGGCAGGCATTCATTCTGCATCCTGGGATAAGCTCCCATGTCCTTCAGATGGCTTTGCTTCAGAGATATGCATGTATGCATGCATAGAAGGGGCACACTCTTCTCCTCACTGTCTCTCACACACACACACACACACACACACACTGAACAGGTGCTGTTAACACACACAGTGCATGCACAATTGACGCTCAGGGTGCATTCACTTATACACAGTACCTAGTCCATATGCACTGGGCCAGATTTTCAAGGCTCAGGGCTCATATTGAGTGTGGAGACATCAGCAGCATCTACCACAATGCCCAGGCAGGCAGCTCCCCTGGACACAGTGCCTCTGCGCATGGGTCTTTAATCATATTTTACCCTGTATGGATTCATAGTCTGGTAAACGCCGATGCACCTGCTGCACGAATGCACGTCTCAGGGCACAGAGAGCTGTTGCTCAGCTGCAACCTGAGGTTAAACCTGACCTGGAGCAGACATTTGAATGTTGTGTACCCTGCAATTTCCAACCTTGCCCACCAGCATGGATCGGTAACACAAGACAGAAAGTCAGGTGCAAACACATCCACATACACCTGACCCACCAGAGCACATACAGAGGTTATGTAGGCAGGCATAACCCTCTCAATATGTATAGTGCATGCTCCCTCCTCGCATATATGCTACACTGCAAGATACGTGTGCAGACTAAACGCACTTACACACACACCATCCACACAAGGTGCATGCATACACACACATGCATACTACACACATAGTATGTACTCATGGACATACATCTATCAACATGTAGGACGAGCACATATACACTCGCACTGCACGTCCAGGCACATGCTCCCATGGGCCATATGGGCAAGTCACTGGAAGCACTGCCATGGACTTTAATATGCCTCTTCCCCTGCCTTTTTCCTGGGGCGTATTGCAAACACATCCCAGTTGGGCCTCTCATTTCTCCCCTCCAGCAAAATGACGGGCAGTTCACGGTGATCCAACTGGTGGGTATGCTGAGAGGCATTGCCGCGGGCATGAAGTACCTGGCGGACATGAACTACGTGCACCGGGACCTGGCGGCACGCAACATCCTCGTCAACAGCAACCTGGTCTGCAAAGTGTCTGACTTCGGCCTGTCACGCTTCCTGGAGGACGACACCTCGGACCCCACCTACACCAGTGCCCTGGTAAAGCTCCCGTCTCTAGAGGATGCAAGGGAAGAGGGTCACAGAGGGTGAGAGGGAGAAGGAGGAGCCCTGTGAGCCCTGCTAGAGACCCCTCACCCTGTTACTGACCCCCTGAGCCATCTCTTTGCCTTCAGCAGAAGCATGCACATCAGGGTCCCCCAGGCTGGGAAAGGGCAATGGGCTCTGACTTAAAAGGCCACTAATATGAGAGCAAAGCTTGGCCCTGGGAAGAGCCTCTCATAATGGGGAAGGGCTCTGCCCCTTCTGAACCCACGTCAGGGGGAGGAGAAACCCACCGTTTCACATAGGTGTACACCCACCTCCACACACAAGCACACACACATCTACTAATTGGGCTCACATATACAGGCCCCTGCTCCACATTACACATACTACGCAATTCGCTTGTGAATCGCACAATAAATTTAGACTAGCCACACATGCAATGTAATTACCACACAGTTAATGGTGCAATAAAGGTAGACCAGCCAGCATGCAAAGTAACAATCACACCGTAAAAAAGACTGTCCAGCTGTAAAAGGAGCCAACCAGCTACAAAGTTAGTGCTTGAAGAAGTATAACAGCTCTGTCGCTGGTTTCTATATGGGTTTAATTTGCACGTGTAGCGGGGCCCATACTCACACACTCCCACACATGCATATTTACTTACTTATATCTTTACTTATATAAGGATATACCCTGACATGCACCTGCTAATGCAGTATACTCGCACTTAGGCATCCTCATGTACATGCACATACACACGACCATACATGCTCGCACACACGCACACACCCTTTAGTAAGGTTCTTGCAATGGAGACATTGCATTTTATTAGTCAGAACAGACCCCCAGTGCACACAGGGTATTAATTGTGGTGAAGCCAATTTGTGCACAGATACCTGTGTGACAGAAATCCCAGTATAACAGATGCCAGTGCCACAGCTCTTATTACCACGATGGCACCACTCATCTTTGCACTAGGGTTGTCCATCTTCTGTCCCCATTGTCTAGGAGGCAGCGGTCCTTAAATTGCATTGCTGCCTGTGCCTAATGCCCTATAATGACAGACCGCTGTATGAAACTTAGTATTGATGAGAAACCCTACTATAAATAAGCCATGACCTCGTAAGGAGAGATTGAAAGCAACACGGAGAAAAACAGTGACAGCAGAAGATTGCAATTCTCACTACACTACCCACAAACAAGAGATAAGCCGCGTGCAGAGGTAACATAATGTTGATCCCGCACATTGCTGTGGTCTCGGTGCCTGTCTCAGGCTACAGCACGTTTCAGAGAATTCAGGGCAACCGTCTCATGAATAATTAAAACTTCGCTGCATTGTCAGAGCCGATGCACAGTGTGGTTGGCATCGCAGATGTTTGCTCACTTCCTTGATAATTTATAGTGTTAGAGTGATGCTGTAGCCATGATGGCCCAGGAATTATGCAAGAGGCAAGGGTTCCTGTGGGCGAGCTCTTCTATTAGACCCACTGCGTTGGCGGGGTAGGGTTCAATGAGCTTTCGAATGTGAGACATTCTTCTTCCAGTCAGAGGAAAAGAGCCACTGTGCCCAGCGCTGCCCGAAGATGGGCGAATAGCCCTCGTTTGGTGTGCAGCGCGCACAGATGGGGAACGTGGTTCCTCACGGCACTAGGACCTGCAGTTTAAGATCCTCCTGAGTTACCGTCGGAGTGGAAAGCCTTTCACCATTTTCATACGATAGGCATACCTCTGACTTTTTTCCCCAGATACAGGGTAGAAATACTTCTTTAACACTTCTAATTTTTTTGCATTATTATTGCCATTTCCATCTACTGAGGATCCCATCCTATTGGTAGGTCTCCTTTTCTTCCTAATAAATGAATGCATTGTCCTTAGCTCTGCTGAAGAGAGACTTCTTTGCTGTTGCTTCACACAGCAATTTCCTACAGTGCCTAGCTTCTGGCTTATATTTATTTCTAGCAAGTTCCCCCTTTTTACGTTTGTAATTTATACTTTTAATTTAGCTTTTTATACCCGCTCTCGCTTCCCTTATGAATCAGATTAGGTTTTAGCCACCATAGTACTCCTTCGGGCTAACACCGAATCCTCCCCTGATGGGTGCAATGCTGTTTCGGTTAGGGAATTATCATTTATCATGTTTAGAAATTCTGGAGACGTTTTAGCCCTTCTCAAGGGAGTATTGGCTGATGTGAGAGTTTGTGTAAGTGTGAATGTATTTACACACGTGTGTGCATTTGCATGTGAAAGAAGGTATCCAGGTTGTAGCCATATTGATCGAGAGGAAAAGGCAATCAGGACTCATAGTAGAGACGATATCTTTTATTAGACCAACAAGGTTTTTGCAAAAAATGTCTTTAATTACAAACTTTCGGGCACAAACACCCTTTATCGGGCATGCCTGATGAAGGGTGTTTGTGCCCAAAAGCTTGCAATTAAAGAATTTTTTTTGCAAAAATGTTGTTGGTCTAATAAAAGATATCGTCTCTACTATGAGTCCTGATTGCCATGTGCAAGAGTGCATTCACGAGTGTATATATAGGTGTGAATGAGTGAAGAAATGCTGGAATACTTGTAATCTCATAGCTCAAAAATTTTGCCAGGGTTTTTGGAAGCAAATGAGCTGGACACTCGACTTTCCCTCTCCTTTTCTTTCACTGGTCTCTCTCTTCCTATCCTGCAGGGTGGGAAGATCCCAATACGGTGGACAGCACCTGAAGCCATTCAGTACAGGAAATTCACATCAGCCAGCGACGTGTGGAGCTACGGCATAGTCATGTGGGAGGTGATGTCATACGGCGAGCGGCCCTACTGGGATATGACCAATCAGGACGTAAGTTAGCAGGAGATCCCAGGGCTCCTGCCGGGGTGGGGAGGATAAATCAGCTGGAAATCAGGAACAAGCTAAAGATCCCTAAACTGCCTGCATGGTCACAGCTCTGCTCTGTCTGCAGCAGACTGTAAGAGAGATCTTCAGGGCAAAACCATTGCTGGCCCGCTCCTCCTGACAGCCCTCGGGAGGACAATCTGATTGCACTGAACTTGTCATTGCCTCTTTTTCTGCAGGTGATAAATGCTATAGAGCAGGATTACCGGCTCCCCCCTCCCATGGACTGCCCCAATGCCTTGCACCAGCTAATGCTCGACTGCTGGCAGAAGGACCGGAACCATAGGCCGAAATTCGGGCAGATTGTCAACACGTTAGACAAGATGATCCGAAACCCCAACAGCCTGAAAGCCATAGCCCCCGTCTCCTCCGGGTAGGCACCTCTCCTCTCGCCCTTTCCTTCCCTGCGTGTCCCTTGACTGTTTCCACCAAACTCTGTCAAGGATGGGTCCTTTGTGTCCACACCAGAGTGGGAAGTCGAGGTCTCTCGGCTAGGGCTTGTGTAACCATAGCCCAAATTCCTGTTCTCCACGGGTGACAATATCTCCTGTGTCCGCAGCAGACGTTGCTTCCCTTGGCTTGAATCTATAGCACGTGTCCTCCTCCATGCTCTGAGCTGTGTGTAGTACCAGGGGAAGCAGAAAGAGGTTTCTGCAGACTTCACTTTCTTAAACAGTATTTTTAAGCTCTGCCAGGGAACGGGGACCCCAGGCTTTCTGTACCAACCAATAGTCCCATTAAATGACCTGAGATTTTTGGTGTGGCCATCTGAGTGTAGAGAAGTGATATTTTGAGAAGGAGACGCATGCAGTGTCTGGATCCAGTGTACGCTTGCAGCCATGCGACACACGGATAAGGCAAAGACTGTGATAAGGGACTTGTTTTGCATAGAACAGAAGAGCTGGAGGCTGTAAGTGAGCGGCACGCTGTGTTAAAACCTTGCTTTCCTGACTCGGCATGTGTGCAGGGGGACATGGAGAGAGAGGCGGACGCAAGGGTCTGAGATGGAAGAACTAGGGAGGAAACTGAAAAGATGCAGCAAAGGGACAGGTCCTTCCCACTGTTCATGAGGCTTGTACGCTCCATGGAGGAGCGCAGGCTTTGGCCTTAATAATGCAGACGTCATGGGGCCAGATTCCCTTTTACTTACTAGTTGTCTAACTGGATGTAAGTGCTTAAGTAGGACTCTGTTCAACCCTGATCCAGTCCCTGAAAATCCATCAGTGCATCTACTTGCGTAATACGCCATCATCTGACCCTTGATAAGCGCGTGTTATAAAAAAGCAACAAGGAGAAGGCATTAAATAGGTTTTCAAGGCCCCAAGCAGGGTGGAACAGGATTGCACTTCCACACCTAATAGGTGACAGGGCATCTGGCTCTCTGGTTCTTTCCCTTTGAACAAAACAAAGGGATTAAGCCCTGAGATAAGGTGGATCTTAGGAGCTGAGAACAACTGCAGACCTGTAAGATGAATGGTAACTAGTTACGGGTCCCAGAGGGACCGTCTGTAAAGGCAGCCCCAGCTAAAAGTGCACGCTTGCATCCTGATCAAGTGCAGCCTCAGTCCTCTGGCAAGAATATCTGAGAAGGTGTGGAAAAGGCAGGGCAGAATCCGTAGACCTGTTCAGACAGGATATAGAAGTGGAGCAGGTGGTTGGATGCGGCGCTCAGTGCAGATGCTACAGACTCTTGCAGAAGGGCGATGAAGGTAGGAGGGTGTATGGCTGTGAATCCTTTTGGGGGCTATCCTAGCACACATTTTTCTTGCCTTCTTGTGTTGAACTTCTCAGCAAACTTTAGTGATATGCTTCCTCTTTCTCTACCCAAATGAAGTCTGTAATTTTATTTCCATTGTGCAGGTTGGGATGCTGAGAAATAGAGGGGAAGTACTATCTAGAAAGTGCATGGGAGAGCTGGGAGTACCTGATGGCTAATTCTGTTCTCATATTACAAGATAATACTAGATCTGACCTGCTAATTCTACCAGTACGGAGAGGAAAGGATAACATTTCATCCAGCCCCACAAACTGACTCATCCTGTTGGTCCGTCCTTGGATCAGATCATCCACGCGGAGACAGGGTGTGCATGGCTACGTCCAGAAGCATCCCAGAGCTCCTGGCACTGTCACACCTGGCGGAGTGGGGGGAAACCCCTGCTCATTCTTTGTTTCTGTATTTCAGGATTAACCTCCCTTTACTTGACCGCACAATCCCAGATTACACCAGTTTCAACACAGTGGATGAATGGCTGGATGCCATCAAGATGGGCCAGTACAAGGAGAGCTTCGCCAACGCCGGCTTCACCACCTTCGATGTGGTGTCACAGATGACCATGGAGTAAGTGCCAGGAGCTGTAGTCCCAAAACAGAAGCAAATAGCTCACAAGTTTTATAGCAATTGGCCATTATTAACTTTTATCTTGATATTGTACCCGTCTTACCCATACGTTATATAGTACTAGTCTGTTGACTTCCCAAAAGGCCACTTAATATTTTCCATTCTTGCAAAACTCCCATACTCTGCAGATATTTTCCTCTCTCTTATCTGCAGACTGTCTCTCCACCTTTCTGTTTACCAGCCAGAATTCAGGCTGTCTGATTTCTTTAATCCCCCCAGTCACAGGCAGATTTGAGTGGTGTTCCCCCAAACCCAAAATGTTGCACAGCGATACAGGACAGGATGGACCCAGGACATTGTTTCAGGAGGCAAAAGGCAGTTCTGCAGCACAGAGAGGGTACTTCTGGATTCATTGATTCCCCTCAATTAATTATTTATTGTCATTCGGGACTTGTCCATCGCATGCAGATCTCTACCTGGAAAAGGCTTTGGAGAGCCCAGAAGAGCTGGTGTTGCTTTGTTCTGTGCCTGAAAATATCCACATAACAATGAATTTGCATATCCACTGCTTCTCCATGGAGCACTGGCCCTGACTTACAAATCCTACAATCTAGGCTTAGACACTGCAGTCGCAGGTGTTATAGGAAAACCTGAGAGCAAGGAGGAGAGGTTCAGAGGCAGAAAAACGCATACCCAAGCTCTGGACATAGCAAGCAGCACAACTGCAACAATAAAATAATAATAGTAATAACTAGAATAACAAGAACAGCAACAATAATAGTAGTTATTATAATAATAATAATAGTAAATACAAGCATGAGCACATGCAGATCTCTGAGCTCAGCTGTCGCAGGTACCATGTTAATACCTCTGGTCAGAAGAGCTCTAATGATGCAGTGTTGCATCAGAATTCGCATACTTAGCAAAATCAAAATCAAAATTTGCATATTCATCAAAATAGTACATAAAGGCCATTCAGTTTAGCAGATCCCAAAATCAGCTTTCCAGGGAGGATTCCTCCAGTTTATCCCTCTTAATCCAAAGAGACAGCCCAGGCTTTCTGCAGCCATGGCTATCACGATAAGCACTGACCCCCAGGAACCCCAGGGCTCCCAGGGTGCATAGCTCCAGGATAATCCATGAAGCTTACTGCCCTACACCTAGAGCCCCATTTTAGTTAGCTAAGAATCATGAATGTTGCCAAAAACAGCTCTTGAAATACCTGCATCCTCCATGAAAACACAATTGCCCTTGGTTAAGGTGGTAGAGAGGCCAAGTAGTGGGGGAGACCCTACAGCTAAGTGGTTAAAGCACTTGCTCAGAAAACTGGAGGGGCACGTCGTGTGTGCTTTAATGCATGTTAGCCTATTTTAATGCACATTAAGGTATCACTGAAAAACTGTGCTATTTAGCTAATGCACATTAAAATAGGTTAATGCTCATTAAGCATCACTTAAAAACTGTGCTCTTCAGTTAATGCACAATAAGGCAAGCTAATGCACATGTTCCTAGTACCTCCCAAAGGAGGTGCTAGGTTTAATGTGCTTTAACTAAAGCACTTTAATGCATGTGTAGACGCTCCCGAGTGTAGCCCACCCCTTGCCCAGAGGGGTATCGTCCTGACATCCTAGCACAGACCTGTAGCGTACGCAGCCGTATCAGTACGTAGCTCTGCTGCGCATACTCCTGCTTTGCTTGCTTGAAGAATCTAGGAGAAATAGGCTAGCGAACGACAAGGGAGCAGAGACAGCACAAGTCCCCTGAATGGAAAACACAGTCCGGTTTCATCCGTTTCATTTGAGTTGTTTCAGAGACAGTCAGGAGTCCAGACTTGCTCAAGAACTAAGCAGGAGATTGCTTGGCAAACAGCTGGGCTCTGTGTGCAGGGGGAGGCTCCTTACTGACCCGTCTTGTGTGTGTGTTTATGCCACAGGGACATTCTGCGAGTTGGGGTCACTTTAGCAGGACATCAGAAGAAAATCCTGAACAGTATCCAGGTGATGCGAGCACAGATGAACCAGATCCAGTCTGTGGAGGTTTGACATTCATGTCCTCACACTCCTCGTCCTCAAGGCCCCGCTCCCCGTTGCCCCTGTATGTCCAGGCTCCAGTTCTTGAGTGTTTTGCATCACCAGAGACAGGCAGCTGCTCTGAGGATCACGGCAACAGGAAGAAACGTCCTAAATAACAAGGAGTCACCAAGAACTACGAAAATGCAAGCGATGGAAAAAGGGAACAAAAAAAGACAAATATTTTGAAAAAGAAAACTGGAATATTTTTAAATAATAATAAAAGCAATGGCATTCTTGACAAGGGCTCCAAGATCCACAAGAGTCTCCAAAGGGAGACCAAAGAGCAGCTTCTTTCAGTTTCTTCTTGCACAAGGCTGCTCCAGCCAGCCCCAGACACCTCTGGAGTAAAGGGACTTTTTCAAGAAGATGGGGGAAAAAAAACCCAGTAAAAGATGTGGGAAGCACTCTTCCTTTTCCGACGTGGGAGGGTGACTTTGGGGATGTCCTGAAGCCAGCAATCCTCCCTGAAAGCCTCCGCGCTGCCCGAGCGACGGGGGAAGGAGAGCTGAGGAGCTCTCTCCATGCAATGGACCGACAGCGTCTCAAAAGCGATGAACTTCAGAGCCGAATTTTTTTTTTAAGCAGATAAAGAGAGCTTAGAGGTCTCTTCCCAGCAGCTGAGGAACCTGGGGCCGTCGGGGCTGGGGGATGGGGAAACCGATCCTTTTTATAGCTGTTTCTTTCTCTCGACACAGAACAGTTTGGCGAGGGACACTTTTTCCGAGTGTCTGCCCGTCCATCCCTCCAACGGCATCATTTTCTCATACATATCATATGCACAAGACTTTTAGTGATGTCCTCACTAGTTGCCAATGACCTTTTCTCAGAAGACTTCCCAAGTACAGTATGTAGTAGTTTTTGATTACAAATGCTGATGTGTACAGTTATTTTTTTTGGTTGTTGTTGTTTGAAGACTTGTCCTTTTACCTTGTTTGTTAACACCAGTCTGTGGGTTTGGGGTCGGAATATTTTGGTCGGTCAGTCGGTCAGTTGGGTTTTTTATGAAAAGGAAATGACACTTCCGAGTCTCATCTCTCTCAAGAACTTGAACCTTCTCCTGGTGGAAGGAGAAGTCCAGCTTCCTGACTCGACACTATGCCAGGGGAACAATTTTTTATGCATATTTCCTCCTGTTTGCCTGTTATTTTGTAATTTTTCATTGCCTGACAGATGTTCCTAAGTGTTGGGCTTCCAGCTATCCTGCCAAGGGGGAAGAGCAGCCTGGCCTGCTGGGATCTGCTGCTTTAGGGGCCTGTGGAAGGGGAGAAGCCGAGAGCCACACTGACCTACCAGCTGGGACAGACGAGGGGCCGATGCATGGGGCAGTAGTTGCAAGCTAGGGACAGCAGCTGGTAGCCGGAGGTGTCCTTGAAATGAGGTTCCTCAACGCTTGGACTCAAGTAAAGGGCCAGTTGTGAAATACCCATTGCGGTAGCTTTGTGGCTGTTCTCTGCGCCCCTCAGACACGTTCTCCCTTCCACGGGGGGGCATAGGTTCGGGGGGCCATGCTTCATTTTTATCCAGCCACCTTTAGGAGAGTCTTGAATGGCGAACGTGAGCATGCGTCATACCTGCAGGGCCCGCCCGGGACCAACCACAGCAACTGAAGGGTCAGTCAGCGGATCGAGAAGCAACTGCAATAACTGCTTTAGTTACAGGACAAATGACTAGATATCACTGGCCAAGTTGTAGGGGAAAGTATGAGAGAAAAATCTTGGATTTGCTCTTCCAGCTCATCCTCACCCAAATCCTACTGACTAGGCCTGGCCTGCTCCTTGTGGGCATGTTGAGTGTCCTCCTGCGTCTCTAGAGCCTCACTTAGCGTTGCCATGTCATGTTTATGGGTACACCTTTTTCAGTGGCACGGAGGCCTTGAAGATATGTTCCCAGGGAACTTAAATTGCTTTATTTCCCCATGGCCAACGCCAAGAGGGAAAAGAATTGGCTGTGGGTAGAATCCTAAGGCTGATTTTTTTAGCCCTTTTTGTAGTGACTGCCTGTAAAATATGGAAAGCCTGGCACAAAATACGTAATATTTTCCTCCTCAGATTAGACCCGGAGACAAAGCACAGTTGAGAGGTTGAGAGACAACGGGCAGTTTCTTCTGACCTCTTTTCTTAGCACTTGTGCTCTCGAACGTGTTTGCTGCACAGCTACAGCAGCAGGTGCCTGAATTGCAAGGTCTGCCTGTCCAGGGTCCGCTTGCCCAAAATCCGCAGAGATGCTGGGTGGGTTTTCTTTTATGCAAGGTGTTTCCCTGTTAGGACGTGAGCTAACATCCAAACATCCACCTGGAATCAGTGGGAACCTCTGATTAATCTTACTGTAGACAGTGGGCTAAATTCTGCTCTCAGTGACCTCCGTGTAAATACTGATCAGCTTCCCTGAACTCAGTAGCCTTTCCACGGGTGGCACGGACAGCAGAATTTGATCCAGTGTCTGACGACGAAGGGTGAGAAATGAGCAATGGGAGAAGATCGTAGGCTGTGTCAGCTGGAAGCGGGCCGGGAAGTGTCAGCCTGGTTAGCATTTTTCCAAAATACAATCAGCTGAAGCATGCTTTAACTTGCCCAGTGTTTAACCAGCCCAGTTCTTGATTGTGGTCTAGGCTTGATTTACAGCAATGGCATACAAGCGACAGCGATGCTGACCTTGTCGGTATCATAGGCATGCTGGGAAACTGGGGGCTGCCATATGTGCTCTATACCCAATAGAAGCACAGAGCACCAGAGAGATTGCATCTACGGTGCCTCTCTCTCCCAGTTCAGGTGCCATATTTTAACATGGGCTTGTTTTCAGGGGGCATGTCTACACGTACATTTACTGTGCAGTAAATAACTGTGCAGTAAGCAGTGTTTACACCGGTGTCTACACATGCAGTCGTTACAGTGCAGTAATGCTATGTACGGACTGGTTACTGCGGCAGTAAGGCATCTACACGTGCCTTACTGCACAGTCACTGCTCAGGTGTACATTTGCTACCTGGATCATGCAGGTAGCAAATTTACGCCCAAGATGGCACAAGTCGCCATAGTTACTGCACAGGATGGACACACATGTGTAGATGCGCACCGGTACTACGCAGTCATTTTTGGTTAGTGCACAGTAACCTAAATTACTACACAGTAACGGTGCACGTGTAGACGTGCCCCGTGTCACCCAGAGGTACCATATGAGGCCGCTTGGTGGCAGACCTAGGGGAAGGAGGGACAGGTCTAGCCTAAGTTTAATCACCACAGGCCACTAGTTATGTATGCAGATGGGAAACGTGTGAAAGCAGAGCTGCCTCGGTAGAAAACCATCCAGCAAATTCCTGAGGGGCACCGGGCTGGAAGGGCCGCACACTGCTCTTGTGTTGTCTTTCACAGACAGTCCTGGACTGTCCTCCGCGACCATGCTTCCCGAAACCCAGCAGAAGTGTCCATGCTGCAGGCTTCAGAGCCCATCCTCTTCAGGCAGGGCCCTGAGGGGAACTTGTGGTCAATTTAATTTGGAGACCCTTTGTCTTAATGCACTCAATCTCCGCACCGGCAGGCTGGCAGGATCCACCTCTACCTACCTGAGCCAACCCACTGTGAAAGGCTTGTTCAGAGCTGGGGTGGCTGGCATC